TAAAAATAACTAATTTCAATCACAACTTTGATTCGATGAGTCATAAAGATTGAACAAGAAATCATAACTTTTCACATAAAATTTATTTATTTTTTATTAAAGTCCAAGCTCTAAAAATAAGTAATTACAACTTTTGTTTAAGCAATTATACCTTTTGTCATGTGAATCACACGAATTAAATAAAAACTCACAACTTTTCATGTAAAATTTTTTTATTATTAATGTATAAGTTTTAAAAATATCCAATTATAACTTTTATTTAAGCAATCATAATTTTCATTCTGAAAATCACAAAAATTGAATGAAAATTACAACTTTTCATGTGAACACATTATTTTTTATTTTAAATAAGGGATAATTTAGTTATTTTTCTTAAAATCACTAATATCAAAATGTACCTAGAGATTTAAGAGGAATCATGACGTATCATGAGACTTAATTGTCATTTATATATTTTAGTGAGATTTTATTATAATTTTTTTCTAATTAAATACTGTAAAATGTTATATCCATATTCTAGTTTATTTGACTTATTTGTAAATAAGTTTTAATATAAAAAATTTTTTTTTACCCTTCTAGCAAAATTAAAGAAAGATGGCTTTGAAAATTTATAATTTTCTATTCCGTGTTAGTCATTTCTTCAAAAAAAAAATATAGTCATTTCTCAAAAGAAAGTGATAACTAATTTATAGTTGTTGGATTACACTGAGGAAAAAATTTGCATAAGGCAACTTATAATTGTTATTCTATTCTAGTCATTTCTCCAAGAAAATTAATTATTTTCCCAAAAAAAAGTGGTAAATGATTTTTAATTGTTGGACTTCATTAATTAAAAATTTTGTACAGAATTCCTTTGAATTATACAAATAATAATTGGGTGCAATAAAAGATGATAATTATTTTCTGATTTCTAAGATTTATCATAAATAAGTTTTAATGTGAAAAAACCTTTTTTACCCTTCTAACAAAATAAAAGAAAGATAGCCTTCATAGCTTATAATTTTCTATTCTGTTCTAGTTTTTTTTTTAAAAAAAACTAGTCATTTTTAAAAAGAAAGTGGTAACTAATTTTAAGTTGTTTGACTTCATTTATTAAAAAAAAGCTTGCACATAACAACTTATAATTTATTATTATGTTATTTTATAAAAAAAATGTCAGACCAGTCTCCAGAGATTAAAAAATAATAATCAAATTTTATGATACTAATTATTATTTATATATTTGGAATATTTTTCTCTCATTTTCTTTAAAAAAATTCAAAATATTTATTAAAAAATAATTTACTATAGTTCTTGGCGGGCATCACACTGGAAGAATCAAGAAACAACCGAGAAGCAGCAGCAGCAGCACGTGGGAGGGAGGCAAGTTGGAAAACCAAGAGCGCAGGTTATAACTAGGAGCCAAGCCATTTGCACGTGTGGTAAGTACGACAACGTAGTGTAGATCTGAGTTTTGATTTTAATTATTCATTAATTAAAAAAAATACTCCACATGAAATCTATTACTGAATTTAATCTTATATATTTATTGTCCGATTGTGAGGTTTTTTCTTTTGGTAACACCAATATGTAAGATATAGTTGGAATTGAAATGATAATTTATTTTGATCTTCAATGTAATTTTTAAAATTCTTTTCCTTGAATTACTATAGTTTTAAAAAAATCGGACTAACCATCATTGAATCAAACGAAATATTGATTTAAAACTCAATGTTATTAAAATAAGATGAGATAGAGGTCAAATTTATTTTGCGATCAAAGAAATATTTTTCATTGTTTCCTAGATGTCATTAACAATATTTCAAATTTAGATGCCTTATAACAATGTCAAAGTTTATATAACGTTAAAAAAATTTACTATAGTTGGCAAAAAAAAATTAATTAACTATAGTTAAGTGTTCAATTTAATTTATTTGAAACGATTTTTATTATTAGTTTTTTACATTTTTTTGGCCAATTTTAGTTTTTATATTTAATGCAAAGATATTATTGCGAATTAAATTTAATCATACACGTAACAGATCAAATTATATGCAAGGAAGAAGATCTTTCATTGCACTGGATAAGAGGGAAAGCCAAATCCTCGCATGGGACGGTATTATTAAATGAGGACGGCAAGCGTCTCATTATGGTGGGACCCGTTTCAAATCTGCTTGATTAAATTACAATCTTACCCCTGTTCTCCTCCACCACTGTCGGCGAGGCCATCATTTCAGGGAAGGACGTCAAGCAACAAGGGGGGAAAAACTTGAAAAGCCATTTGTATTTGTATTATACAAATAAATCAGGACAGCTTGTGCCTGCTGTACTCATATTCTCACTTTAACTAGCCTTCCACCCTCTGCCCTTTGCTTTTGTTCTTATAATACGGAGTACATATCTTCCCCCACCCCCCTCTTTCAAAAAGCTGAAAAAATAAATAAAGAAAAGATAAATTTAAATCTTTATATTTTATTTACATTTTATTATATATCTCTACATTTTTTTATATTCTAAATCTCTATATTTTTATTTTTTAATATTTTAATTTTATAATTTTAAATCCTTATATTTTATTCATATTTTGCTATGTATCTCTGTATTTTTTTTAGTATTTTAAGTCTCTATACTTTTATTTTTTGGTGTTCTAATTTTCTACATTTAGAAAATTAAAACATTAAAACATAAAATTATAAAGACTTAAAACATTAAAAAAAGTACAGGTCTTATAACATAATATAAGTAAAGTATAAAAATATAAAGTTATGTTTTTCAAAAGTATATCTTATGTTTCATACTAATTTAACACTTCTCTCTGATTTTATTTATAAAGTAAAAAAAGACTTATTTTTATTTTACTTATAAATCATGTTTTTAAATTTTTATTACAAGTTCCTTTTTACGCTAGTTAAATGTTGGTAAAAGAAACACATTATTAAAATTAAAATATATATAATTAACAATAATAAAGTTAAAAATTTATTAAATTTTGAAAAAATATAACTTTAGGTCTTTATATTTTGATCAAAATTTGTTATATGTTCCTGCACTTCTTTTAAGTGTTCTGAATCTCTATATTTTTATTTTTTAGTGTTTGAGATGGGACCTTTAATATTAAAAAATAAAAATGTAAAGACTTAGAGTATCGAAAAAAGTGTAGAGACTTATAATAAAACTCAAGTAAAGTATAAAAATTTAAAGTTATGTTTATCCTAAATTTTTAGATAAAATTAATGAGTTTTAATTTTTTTTTAAATTTTTATAAAATATATTAAAAGTAATTTATACATATAACATCAGAGAGAGTATCATCAATCAATTTGGATTGGTGTTAACTGTTAAGCTAGATATTCTCAATTGAAGAAGGTCTTTTAGTTCGATATTTAAATCCGAAATCATATGTGGACAGAGTTAAATCCACTTTTTAATCCTTAACCACTTTTGATTATCCAAATTTCTCGTTTTTTTGTTCACTCCTGTAAGTCATGAACACAAATAAAAGCAATATTTTCAGAACCAGATCTAATATTAAATCAAAAAAGTCAGCGGTTCACAGTTCATATGGTTCAATTGGGTTAAATTAATGGTCAAACCGGTGATGTAATAATTTAATTAAAAAAATTATATATGTATATAATAATCTAAATATAAGAAATACATATGAAATTACTATTTAATGTAAAAAAATTAAATATTTTAAGTTTATCATGACTTAAGAAGTCATATGATACAACATATTATTAAATGATTAAAAAAATTTGTCATTTTTTTAAAAATTTGATAAAAAATAAAATTTTTTTGAACAGTTTGATTTTTAAAAATTGGATCCAGTTCTCGCTTTGACAACTGATTCGAACCGACTCAACCCCTAAAATAATTTTTTTATATGAACCAGATCGAAAACTAGATCGATCCAATCTAATTTTAAAAACACTGGATAAAAGCTTACAATTGACAGCACATGTATAATTAGTCTCGGTAGTCCACACAAATTCTCAAGGAAGTTGTACTATTTATTACTCCTAAATAATAATATTATTTTTTTTATAATTTTTATATTATAGTATACAGAACTACAGATATATAGATTTTATATATGGAAAAAATATTAAGTTAATCCTCCAAAAGGTAAACTTAAATTTATAGACAGAAGAGAAATGGAATGATTTAAATGGAGTGTTAGATTATAATTTTTTTAATAACATAAAAATACAAAAAGATAGTAAGCAATTAATAGTAGAAGCAAATTTAGTATGCCTTTTCCCCCTGGAGTGTATCAACACTTTTTCACTTTGGGAAAAAAGTTCAAAAAAAAAAAATTTAAGCATCCTATCACATTTTGGAAATACTTCAGAAAAATAGCTAAAAGAGTTTATCTGCCCAATTTACAAGTGATTGTTTTAAACTCCTAACTACTGAGTGTAAAATAAAATTATTAAGTTAAAATAAAATATAATAAACTAATAGTACTTCCAACTTTTCTTTTTTTTTTTATTCTATCACCAACGATTTTAGAAAACATGAGATATTATTTGAATAAATATACATTTTAATCTCTAAAGTATTTTGTGAGGAGTACTTAACATTTTAATATTTTTGTTGTAATAATTTTTTTTAAATTGTTGAAATAAAGTATTTTTATTCTTTCTGTTAACTTTTTTAATAGTCAACATTTGAGGTTAATGTTAAATTTTTGATAAAAAGAGTAAAAATATTTCATTTCAATAACTTTAAGAGGCAAAATTATTCAACAAAAATATTAAGGTGTTGTATACTCTTTAAAAAATATTTTAAAAATAAAAATACATCCTAACCCTTATTATTTTCTGTTTAATCTCCTCTGAATTCTCACTATAACAATGATTTCATAAGTATCCTGCAACTAACTTTAATACATTTATTTAACATTACTTGCATATTCTAAAATACAATTTCAGATGTTAGAAGACTGATTCAGATCAAAGTGCGGTTTCCAACAACTTTCTTTTTCTTTTTGACTAAAGTAAGAATTTTTTTAGTACCTCACCAGTCACCACTCCCCCAAGTGCATCTGTCTGCAAAATTTCAGTGGTCAGCCTTGGGTGTATGTGCATGTGTGTATATATAATCCCTTCTCCAGAATTCTCAAACGCTATCAAAACCCAATCAGCAGTACCTTTCCCAATCTCCTTCTATCATCCATGGCGTCTTCGTCTTCTTCTTCTTCTTCTCTGATGATTTCCCCAAGAAAGCTCCGCTCTGATTTGTATTCCTACACATACCAGCAAGATTCAAGCACCCCGTTAGTCATAAACGTGCTGGCTTCCCTGATCGAAAGGAGCATGGCCAGAACGCAGAGAATTATAAAGAACTGTTCTTGGGCTTTGTCCAGAGCCTCCTCCTGCACCACCGACATCTTCGATTGCAGAGAGATTCCTGACATGACCATTCAATCCTACCTGGAGAGAATCTTTCGCTACACTCGCGCTGGCCCCTCTGTGTATGTCGTCGCCTATGTCTATATCGATCGCTTTTGCCACAACAATCCTGGGTTTCGAATCAATGCCAGAAATGTACACAGGCTTCTCATCACTACCATCATGGTCGCTTCTAAGTATGTCGAAGACATGTGAGTTTTCTCCTCTTTCCTTCTTCCTTGCAACTTTTTTTCTCTTCGGACTTTTCACATACGCCTTAGATGCATTAACTTTCTGGGGTCTTTGTTCGCTTAAACGTAGTTTTCTGAGTAATCAGAAACCTGTGTCTGATCAACCATACAGTTTTCTTCATAAAAATTGAGTTTGGGTGAGAATTAGCTATCTGTATCTGACATCTGGCCAAAATTGTATTCAGAACAACATTATGTGTAATTTCAATTTTGGGGACTGGTTTGAAAGATATCTAAGAAATAGAGCAACCTAACCTTCACTGAATTTTCATCTATTTGGTAAGGGGTTTCTTAAAATGAGACAATGTCTATATACCTTTCAGTCTTAATCAGTGCTTTGTATATATGTTTGGTCACCAAAATTTTGGTGGATGATGTTTATGTGACTTATGAGTTGAAACAGGGAAAAATAGACTAAAGAGGGAAAATTCATTCTTTGATATGACAGGAATTACAGAAATTCTTACTTTGCAAGGGTTGGTGGGTTGACAACGATTGAATTGAATAACTTGGAGCTTGAATTTCTATTCTTGATGGGTTTCAAGTTGCATGTAAATGTGAGTGTGTTTGAGAGTTATTGCTGTCATTTAGAGAGAGAGGTAAGCATTGGAGGAGGCTACCACATTGAAAGAACTCTAAGATGTGCAGAAGAGATCAAAGCAAAGCATGTCAGAGAAGAAAGAACATACACTCAGATTCCCCGTGTGACTCTGTAGAAGATTATGGGAATATATTTTGCAGTGTTTGAGGTTAATAGGGGTTACCTGATAAATCCATGACAAGTGAAATTAAAAAAGATTTTTGAAGGCTTTAAACTTTACCTACTAGCTGCATGGGACCCACATGTCACAATGGTCTCTCACTGTTATTTCTGTGGCCATATTGTAGAGAGGATCTAGGTTGGAATTTTGAAACATTGAGTCAAGGAATTCAATACTACTCCCTCCGATCACATTTATAAATCTCATTTTAAAAGATATATTTGATTTCATTTATAAGTCATGGTGCGCCTTTTTAAATAATATTTGAGAGGTATTTTTAAAATTACCCTTCATGAGAGAGAAAAAGTAACAGGACATTACTTTTTAGATTTGTTATATAGGGGTATGTTTAGAATTTTACTTACTTTTATTCCTTGTACTTTTATTGTATTGGTATTGATGAGGTTGGTAGAAATGACTTATAAATAGGACCGGAGGGAGTATGTTGTAAAAAATTTTCACTTGTCACCGGATGTTAAGTTGATTTTTTCAGCTTTTTTGCTTGTAAGAGAAGGCTGCCTGTGTGAGTACAGATCGGTTTACTTGTATATCTAAGTTTGCTGGAAGATTGGGACATAGTGCTAAGAAGTGGTGTTGCACAATTATGAGAGTCATCTTTGTACAAATCTGTTTTGTTTCTACACAAGGGAAGTGAAAGTACAAGGATTTTCAGTGCAAAGAATTTAATGTCTAAATACCCCCTTATAATTTTTATAGTTATATTTCTCTCTCTCTCTCTCTCCCCCCCTTCCCTTTTTTTTTTTTCCTTTTGCTCTATGACTATTAACTGTGCATGTTTCTAGGATTGGGATATGTTGCAAGTTTCCCCTTTTTAGAGTAACAAGTAAATTAACAAGCAATTATTGAATTGCCGGCTTCCCTGTCCTGAGGTCCCAACTTTAATTTTTCATGACCTTATTAACTATGATGGCATAAGTAGGTGGAAATCTTTGCTTTTAATAAAATATTATAAACCGAGTTTTAGAATTTTTATGTAAGTGAAATGGGTAGGATATTTTTAGATGCACACGCATTCTCATGTATGCTTGAAGATATCAGCACTAAATTTTATCTATATTTAAGTGAATTTTTTTAAACTTTATATTACATTCTCTTTTATAGTTAATAAATTTAAATAAAAGTAGCATTGAAAAAAATAAAATTAATATTTTATCAAGTGTCTTGTATTTAGGATTAAATAATTCTTTTAAAATGTGCCCTTCTATAACAAGGATTGGAATACATCACGGGCTAATTAGATGAATTGTTGGATTAACTTTAAGTTTGCCTTACGATATCAAAATTACACTACATCAAAGACTATAATAATTGTAATTTTTAGTTTACCAGTATTTGGATAATTGGCCCATTGGCCAAAAAAATATTGTGTTCAAAAAATATGAATCAAATTTTTAAAAATTTAAAAATATGGTTGGTTCACATTGATATATAAAGAGTTTATTATTGATATACAATGATACATTATTGACAAATATAATAAGTCAGTTATAATGCAAAACATAATAAATATTAGGCTATTTTTTTAGTTTGATCTTATAACATGAGCTATATTTGTAAAAGTTTCTTGATATTTGTTTTACTAAAAAAAAAGCTCTTTGTTCAAACAAAATAAACCAATAATTACAAGAAAAAATGGAATGAGAATTGGCGTTTTCTCAAAAGACATTCAATTTATTACTGTTGACATTAATTTAAATCATGACCCAAAAATGTGTGTGTGTGTGTGTGTGTACAACGAGGAAGATTTCACGAGATTGAAACGGCAATCAATCATAATTTTGTTATAACAAACTTGCTTATTCCATACGCAAATATAATAGTGGGATTAATGCCACTTGTGCGAGCTGTGAAGCATTACAGTAACTAACTAGGTCATTATTCAAATGTAGCTGTAAAAGTATGCGTGTTGCCTTTAATTATTGCGATAGTACGCTCACATGAACCTAAATGAACGGGAAAAGCGATTTTATTTGATTTTGACAAGTTGAATGAATAGACCAATAAAAAAGGGAGCAAATTCCCGTAGCTTTGATTTCATTTCATCATTTATTGATTTTTTTTAAAAAAACTTGATCATGAATCCTCTTGAGTTATGATTAGATGGGTGGATTTAGATTGTGAATTTAGTTTAAAATATTATATTTAAAATCTCACATTTAAAATTCATAAATTACAATTAAATGTATCAGTGAACTAGCCACAATTAGCAGTGGCAGTCTTGCTTGGTTAATGTTAGTGGTCTAGTCCAGGTCGAAGTCAGAAGTCTAGTGTTGGTTGGCCTTGGTAGTCAAGTCCTGGTTGAAGTTGATACTATCTTGACATTAATAAAACACACCATACAATACTCCATTATGGTAATTAGGATTAGAGAAATTCTTATATTAAACTATTATAATATAAAAGAGTTAGAACTTTGGAAAGGAAAAAAGTTAAAGATTGGGATCCCAAGATAAATCCTTTTTAAAAATATTTGAGCTCAAACTTAAGATATATAAGTCAAACAAGAAGTCATGAACCATGGCAATTGAGAAAGCAATCAACAAATGACACAACATGAGCAAAAAGGGCATTCTACCCAAACTGCTATCTAGTCATTTGCCATGGCAAATGACACAGTTGGTGTTTGTCGTAGCTAATGCACAAGTTGGTTGTAACATCATGAATTTCTTAATCCTGTGATTACTTATTAATCGAGGGTAAAGTAGTAATTAGTGTGAGATTAGAGATTTGAATGATTAGTTGATGATTTGTGTCTTTAGGATGTTAAATGAGTAGATATGGGTGAAAGTATTGTGTTTTGTGTTGAAGTAAGTGCACATGGTGAGAATTCTCACTGTGCCATGCGTTGTGGTGTGTGCTGCATGCGCCACAGTGTATGGACCAAAAAATGACCCCTTAAGTAGTGAATTTTAAGTGATTTTCAGAGAGGCAAATTTAAAAATACACGAAAGGAGAAGATAAGAAGGGTAGGTCTGCTAAGGAAAGCTATTTTAGAGCAGTGAAAGGTGCTTTTGATCAGTTACTTAGCGTGTAAGTTATGTATAACCCTTGCCTTCCATTCTACACAAATTTCTCTAAATATGAGTTATAGAAAAATTGAATCGGTGAAATTTTAAGGGTTTGATCCTTGGTTGATAGTAATAAAAAGGTTCTCGAAAGTTAAATTAGAGCTTTCCGACTGATTAGAGCTGAATGATAAAGCTTTGAACATATAGGTTCAATTTAGTCCTAAAAGAGAGATATTTTAGAGTGAAAATGTGTTTGGGTAAAATGAGACTAGTTGAATTGATGTAGAGTAGTAATTGAGTAGTAATAGACCTATAATGGATAAATGGAAAAGAATATATGGTTGAATGTAGCCATAAGTAGTAAAAATGTATTTTTGGTCAAATTGGACCAAATGACTAAATTGTGCCAAATGTGTTTAGATTGGCATATTGAGCGTGTGAGTTAAGAAAGGAAGCTTGTGATAAGCTATAGTGGTGGTTGAGATCTATGGGTAACCTTTCTAGTGATAAAAGGGTTGAGGTAACTGAATAACTTCCTTTCTTTGACTATTTGTTGTAATTGTGTGTGAGTATGCTATGTAATGCATGAAATGGTTTTCAATCAAGCATGATTTATGGCATTTTGTGAATGTTGCATGAAATAGCTTTTGATTGAATAAAAGTATTGAAAATGTGATTTCATATGGTGTGTAAGTATATATATGTTATGTGTGAGAAAATACATAAAGTGGTGATTGGGAACCTATGATTGGTTCAGAAAGCATAATCATAAGGGTGGGAGTTCACCTAAGTGGAGAGGTGGTGATAAAATCATATGGCATATTCTCCTTAGTTCCTGACAGGGGTGCGGTATTAGAGAATTATACCTCTTTAGTGCTTTTTAAGGTGTAGTGTTAGAGAAGATCTCCTTAGTGCCTATTGAGGTGTGGTGTTGGAGATTTGAGACTCCTTAGTGTTTGTGTGATATGGTGTTAGAGTCAATGAAACCCCATTGTGTGTATTAGGGGAAACCATAGTTCGAAAGTGGGATAGAACACCTTTGGCTGGATAATTCTACCATTAAAGATGAGCTCAGGGTCAATAAGTGTGTACATCGGTCTAAGGTGAACCTATAGTTTTGTGTTAGAGTGATTTGGAGGTTCGGTTGGTATTGATCATGCTATGTGATGTTATATGCTATAAAAGTGTTAGAAAAGTGGTGAAACAAGTATAAAAGTGATGAAATGTTTGATATGAGTGATATCTAAAGTGAAATATATGATATGTTATATGAAATGGTATATTATGTCTTACTTTCATAGAGTTGCATGTGATAGTTAATAGGAGTGAGTTATTTTGTTACAAAGATTTTTATCACCCCGTGGTTACATTTTTTACAGGGCAGAACAGTGATCAAGGCAAGGGAAGAGAGTTTAGATCGGCATAGTGGTGCCGTGGTTGTGAGATCCTTATGAGTTTGTGTAATGAACTGAGAACTTGTGTATATATGTGTATTTAAGTTGCCTTAGGGTTGAATGCATGCTTTTAGTAGTGATTTTGTAAAATTCTAGCCCAATTGTGTATATTGTTGGACATAATGGTTTGTGACATTATGTGTTAGCTTAAGTTTTAATGATGACAAATATAGAAGAGTTAACTATACTTATGCTTAATTGCTTTCATATATATCGTAGTTAACTATGTCTATGGAATAAGTTTTTTAACGTGTTTTTACCTATGTTGTTCTATATTACGTGAGATTTGGAAAAATGATTTGTGTGCATCAAATTTATTTTATACTATTCATATTTTTCCTTATCTTGAATTGATTCTATATCCAAGATGATTCAAATTATCATCTTTCATAACTTGGATATATGCATATTGACACTTGGACTAACCATTTTATTCATGATATATCATTTAAGGTTATCTAAAGTGAAGATGAGAGTAAGCATGAAGAGGAACAAAGTTTAAGTCATCATTTACGTGTTACACTCATGATTGAAGAATATAAAGATAAAGAGAAGGATGGCCCAAGAAGAGCTTAAGAATAATGAAGACATTTATACAAACTTAGATGCACCTTGAAAGCCTTGGACTTAGGAGGTATAATATCATTAGGCTAGAAATATTTATGTTAAACTCATTGATTTAGATATGAAGTATTGGCTCAAGAAATCTTAGATCAAAACATGCATCTTAGTTCTAAAGAAAAAAAAGTGAGATATAGTTTTCTAGAGTCATAGTTTTCATCTTCGGTCACATAAGTCTCACAAAGGTTGAAATGTTTTGATTACTAACTTCATAAAGTTCTTAAAGTTGTTCAATTTACTCAAAATAGAGTTAAGTTGAAAAGGTCATAAAAACTTGAAGTCTAAGCTTTGAAATGTGAATTCTGCAGAAAATTAATTTTGACCTTTGGTCATGTTTTGTGTCATATCTTTCACTACAAAGATCATTTTAATGTGAAAAGTACCTCATTTGAAAATATACTCCAACATCTTTTCAATGATAGCTTATTTGTTCAAAGCGGAATTCTATTGAGAAAGATATGAACTTTAGAATTTAAGTGTTGAGATACTGATTCTACATAGCTTTGAGTCTTGAACTTCGTATACTCTTTTGATGACATCTCAAAATACAAGTTAAAATTGAAACTTATTTCATTGAAAACTAGACTTCAAGAGCTTTCCAAATATATATAATTTGTTAAATTTAG